TGGGTTCAGGCAATTCTCCTGCCTCAACCTCCTGAGTAGCTGGGATTACAGGCACGCGCCACCATGCCCAGCTAATGTTTTGTATTTTTAGTAGAGACAGGGTTTCACCACGTTGACCAGGGTGGTCTCGATCTCTTGACCTCGTGATCCACCCGCCTCGGCCTCCCAAAGTGCTGGGATTACAGGCGTGAGCCACCGCGCCGGGCTATATGTGGTATTTCTGAAGGATTACTCAGGAGATTCAGGAGCAACAAATCCAGAAACTAATTAAGAGAAGAAATAAGTGATCAATAAGTTCTTAGACTGTAACTTTAATAGCTTTTTTTTTCTTTGACTATTTGTATTTTTGAATGGTGAATTTTTTGTTTTTGTTCGTTTTCCTCTTAGGGCCTAGATGAATATTTTTTATTTTAAAATTAATTTTACTTATTTTTTTTTTGAGACAAGGTCTTGCTCTGTTGCTCTGGCTAGAGTTTGGTGGCACCATCATAACTCACTGACCCCTGAACTCCCGGGCTCAACTGATGTCCCACCTTTGCCTTCGGAATAGCTGGGCCTATAGGCGTGTGCCACCACACCAGGCTAACTTTTGTTTTTGGTAGAGTTGGGGATGAGGACGGGGGTGTCTCACTATGTTTCTTAGGCAGGCCTTAAACTCCTGGCCTCAAGTGATCCTCCTGCATTGACCTCCCAAAATGCTGGGATTAAAGGCATGAGCCACAGTGCGCGCCTGTATTCATCAATATTTTATTTAGCCAAAGAAACAGGAAATTTGGACCATTATCTATTTGTCCATATTATGTTTTAAATATTTCCCCCAAATTTACTTATGTAAAAATTTTTCTTATTTATTCCTTTTTTGCCATTTGGAAATTTTGGATGCTTATAAATAACTATCAAGATTTATAAAGTATTACATGAAGGTTCAAATTTTTTTAATTTCTTTTTTTAAGTTTAAGAAGCCTATTCCAAAACAAAAATAATAAAACTATTTAGCAGTTATTTCTTCAGATGATTTTTTAGTCAAATTTTTAGTCAAATGTATTCGTGTCCAAAGATGAAGAACATAATGTCATATATTGAAGAGTGTGATGAAACTTCAATCCCTCAAATAGGACGTGAGTCCATTTACCTAGCACTTACCGAGACAAGCTGGGCCTGTTGGGTGGTATTAAAAGTCCCAGTCCCCTGTTACCAAGGAGGCCAGCGCTGCCTCAGGGGCTAAGATGGTCTCAGGGACCCACCCTGAGGAGCTCACACCCATCCAGCAGGCAGTCGCCCTTGGGATCACTGCAGTGATTCTACACGGTGGACCCTCACACTCAGGGCTGAGGCCTCGGAATAAATGAGCTCCGGAGTTCTCTTCCTAAAGTTACCTGGATCGGTTTCTTCTCCGACCCGCCTCCTCTTGGAGCTGAGAACGCACTAACTTAATTCTCAAGACTGGGGACCCAGCATTGGCCGGTTTGCGCATGCGCACTCCTAGGCCAAGCGGTCACTCCCAGAAGTCCCCGAGGCTGGGTCCGTGGGCGGCGCGCGCAATCCCCGTGGTCACCGCCGTTATTTCTTGTAGGTTTTTAGGATTCTGGACTCCACTTCACTCACCAGCGCCTGCTGTCCTGAGTGTTCTGGCTTGGACTACATATTCCACAGACGACGGAGAAAACTTGGGCCCCTGGCTCCAGTTCCGGGACTTCTGCCTCTGCGCTGCGCACGACCTGGTTCCACCTGAGGAAGAAGGCGGCGCGGGTCGCTGCGGGTGCCTCTTCATCTCCAGCCCACAGCACCCGTGGGATCCTGCATAGCGGTGAGAGTGGGGCTGCAGAAGGCGCTCAGAGCGCGGAGGCTCTGGGCGTGGGCCGGCCTAGCCTCCCGCCTCCTCAGGCCCTGGGATGCTAGAGCTGCGGAGGAGGGGCTCATCTCTAGGAGACAGGCGGAGAGCGTGAGACTGCGCAGCGGCGACAGGACAGGCGTGTCTGTGTGATGTGGGTACAGTTGTGGGAATGTGAGGGGTGCGCGGTCGACCTTGTGTGACCTGGACATGTGCTGCTTATCCTTTGCAAAGCGTGCTTTGCTGGGCTCTGTGGGGCCACTGACCCTTGGCTCCAGGTTCCCTGCTGCTTCCTGTGCCCTCCTCTCAGCCTAGTACGACTGCAACAGAGAAATGGTCCCAGTGGGAAATCAGACACTGAGCCTTAGATGAAGGTTTCCAGTGAGAAGAAAGGTAGGCTGGGAAGCTTAGAAGAGGAATTGCCCTTAAGACAGGTATGATACATTCTGTTAAAGAAAAAAATATTCAGTGACACTTGTTAAAGCATGCAGAAGAAGTCTTTATTCGGGACCATCGGTATTGGGTATCCTGGCGGTGAGATTTTTGCGGTGGGTAAGAGACCTTGGGCTCAACTCCGAATTTAGTATAAATAGGTGGGAATTTATAGCCAAGAAGGTTAGGGATCACTGATTGAGAAATTACCAAGAGGAAATGTCTGGGATAAAGAGGATTCTGACTAAAGGCACCTAAGAGGATTATTTCTGAAGAGAGAGACCTGGGTGATAAGACTATCACCTGGGGGACCATGGAGGATGAAGATAGGGAGGTGAAGGGTTCTTGCTGAACTGACTTAGAATAGTTCTTTGCGATAGCCAGATTTTACATTGAAGTGTACAGATGGGCCTAGCTAAGGTGTAATAGCTTGAGTAAAGTTTGGTCAGTCAGAGTTTGTCAGTTTTGAGTGTAGGATTCCTTCCTGGAAAAGGGTTGTTTCTCCACCCCCACCTCCCGGTTCTTGGAGTTTCATTTACATGTTTAACAAACATGGCCTTCTTGAATTCTGACCCCAAGAACCTGCAGTGAAGGATGATTGGAGATTCAATTCAACATACTTCTTTCTGGTTATGTATATGAAATTACGCACTTGTAGCCTTGGAGGGGGCAAACATAAGCACTAAGTGTTATGAGATAATTTTGGATATTCCATTTTGGATTTCTATAGATCAAAAGCTACAAGAATATGAACTTAGCTGTGGTGTGTCCTTGCAAATGAAGGAAGTGAGCCAGAATTTAAGTTTTCTGAAATAGAAATTCCCATTCGTTGGTCTGTGTTTGTGGACATTACAAACCCCCTGAAATTCTATAAGGAATTGCTGTACATGTTTGTTAATTTGCATTTTTCTAGGATGTCTATAATCATATTATTTAGACTTGGGTTTTAGATCTGGAATCAAAGAGCTTTATACCTTTGAATAGTTTTGCAGAAAAGTAATGCGATTATGGGAATGGTTAAGACAATGATACAACATCATGGGATTGGATATTATACAGATAATAAGATTTATTGGGCCGGGCGCAGTGGCTCACGCCTGTAATCCCAGCACTTTGGGAGGCCGAGGCGGGTGGATCACGAGGTCAAGAGATCGAGACCATCCTGGTCAACA